CGAAGTCTCCTGCTGACACACGTGGCATTCAAACAAATTCAAAAACCCACACAGTTGTGATACTTACCACTAGATGCCAGAGAGTTACAACTTGTCAATGTATAATGAATTTCTAAACAGCATGGTAAGTCATAGTTACTGCAAAACAATTCTCTGGCACTGAAATTTCATGTTTTCAGATTTTAATTGTACTCGGAAACCATTTAAAAAAAAAACACAAGTAATTGGCTGCTTTTATGTTTTCTTTCAGTGTCTTACCTCATTCTTAATCCTATCATTCTTTTCTTCCCTTTACTACACTTGCTGTACATGTTTTTACAGTGCAGTGACAGTACCCCTACCTTTGAGCCAGGAGGCCCAGGTTCAAATCCCACTTGCTCCAGAGGTGTGTAATTACATCTCTGAACTGGTTGATCAGAAAATTGTAATCAACTGGATTGTTTTTTTCAAATCTTTAATAGGATATAGGCATTCACATAATCATACAGTACAGAAGAGGCTCTTCAACCTATTGAGCCTGTACTGGCAAAAACTACATTACTCTACCTGCACGAATTGCCTGCTCCACCATATAGTGGAATCATGGCTGATCAGGTAAAAATTCAGTCCAACTTTGCCTTGAATAAATTCAATAATGCAGCCTCTATTGTTTTCTGGGGAAGAAAACACCACGGACAACTGACCCTCAGAGAGAAAAGAAATCATAACTTTATCTTAAGAGGGACCTCTCTTATTCTTCTATTGGGTCTAGTCTCCCTCACAACGGAAAAAATCCACCTGGTATTCACCTTTTCAAATACCGTCTGCATTTTATCAATTTCAACAAGATTACCAAGTCATGCAGTGATTCAAGACAGTGACTCATCACCAGATTCTTGTGATTAATTAGGGTACAGGCAACAAAAGCTGGCCCAGCCAGCAACTTCCGCATTTCATGAAAGAATAACTTTTTAAAAGCACAACTCACGAATCTATTCAGTTCCAAACGAGAATACCATAGGAAATTTCTTGAAACCTGTGCTTAAAGGTCAAAAGGATTAACAGCTGATTTAACAAAGCTTTTCGGTATTATAGGGAACCGCAAATGCCTCCAACACTTAAGATTCATTTCCACATAATACAATGTATTTCCTGGGATTCAGGTAAACCAGAATACCAGCAACGCACATATTGCTCAAAAAAAAAAGGTTGTTGGAAAAGCTCAGCAGGTCTGGCAGCACCCGTGAAGTAAAAAAATCAGGGCTAACGTTTCAGGCGCAGTGACCCTTCCTCAGACCTGATGATAGCTGGGAAACAACAAGGTGCAGGGCTGGATGAACACAGCAGGCCAAGCAGCATCATAGGAGCAGAGAGGCTGACGTTTCGGGCCTAGACCCTTCATCAGAAAAGGGGGAGGGGAAGGGGGTT